CCACGCTAAAGAGCTGCTGACACTCTGGCATGACAGGCACTGCGGAAAACCCAAGGCACCGGCTGTCAACGCTGGGGCATCGCACAAGGAAAACACAGTTGCTCCCAGGCCGGAGCACCTGCTGCGACCGGCACAGCACTCTCGCCCTCCCGAGTGCCGGGCAGCTGCGGTGGCATCACGCTCCAGCACAAGCCCCAGGGCACTGAAAGTGCCAGTTCTGAGCCAGCATCGCCATGGCAACCCACGCATCTCTTAGTTTTACTGGTTTCAACCACACTTTGGCGCAGGCTGTTGGCACCCATACACCTTCAAAGCCAGCACAATGCCCAGACATGCCTGCCCGGTGTGCGGTGCCACTTCCAGCGCTTGCTGGGACACGCCGAGCCCAGCCATAGGCCCAGAGAGGGGTGGCACAGCCAGGCACCACACGTGGAGCCAGCACCACTCTGTGGCTTGCCCAGGGCTGTGCACGAGAGCTGCTGAGCACCGCAGGTTGCAGCAACAGCATTTCACAGAATCACAGAATTTCAAACTGCTGTGCTGGGTACCTGCCCCAGCCCCATTCCCAGGACTCCCCATCCCTGGGGAGCTGGAGAGCTTTGGAGAGGCCACCAGGCCACCCCCGCATGCCAGCACAGCCCCTGCTGCTTCAGCTGTCCCAAATATTTGTATTTTAAATGGATTTGGGGCTTTTGTACCTCCATTAGTAGATGTGACTCCTGATTAGGAGCTGCGTCACACAGACCCCTGTTGACTGCTGGCCAGGGGAAGATGGAGGGCAGGGCTGGATGCAGGGCTGGACACAGGGCTGCCCCGTCCCACCTAACCGTGCTGGTTATCTGTCAAGGGAGTCTGGGCTTGGGGACAAGAGGATGCTGGGGGTCCCCAGTCCTCATCACACCCCAGTGGGCTCCCTGACCCCATCTGCCCCAGCGGCTCTTACCTCAGCGTGCCCGCCCGGGGTCAGGGTCTTGTTGCAGCGCTCACACTTCAGGCAGAACTTGTGCCAGTCCTTGCCCAGGGAGGACACCTTCTCGGCTGCAGGGAACACAAAAGAGGGGTGAGCAACCGCCCAGCACCCGCTAAAGCCCCCGGGGAAGGCAGGCTCTGGGCACCATGGGGAGCTGCAGGCGAGGGGGCTGCTCATGGGCACGCTGTGGAGGGACCATGCCGCAGAGACCGCTCCGCTGCAGCCCACAGGGTCCCCAAGGCCGTTCAGGCCACGGGTACAGGACCCCCAGCCTCTGACCCCCCAGTGCTGGCTCTGCCATTGCACAGACGCCCTTTCCCACGCGCCAGTCCAACAACAGTAGCATTTGCCTTCCTACTCCCTGCATCTATTTTTACCCACCACATTACCCAGTATGACCCTGCTCCCATAAAAATATTTGGTGTTACCATGCCCACCCCACTCGTTTCGTCTTGCCTCCCCCACGCGTGCCCAGGCTCTCGGACTCCCCAGCGCTCCCTGGGGAGCCTCAGCTGCAGTTCCAGCCCTTTGCCAGAGCCACAAACCTGCAGCACCAAAAACAGTTTCAAAGCATCAGTGGGCAAATTCAGGGAAGGAAAATGCTTCGAGATCGATTACACAAATGCACCTGCTCCAGCTGTCCCCGGGCTGTATGTCCTCAGGAGCACCCCAGGAGGTGGCACTGGCTGCCAGTCCTCATCCTGCACCCCCGGCCTCATGCTGTCCCCCTCCCTCTCAGCTCCTGAAAGGCGCTGCCCCATGCCCCCACTGATTCCCGTTGTTCCTCCCTCTCCACCACACATGTGCAGAGACAGCTGGAAAACAGCGGGATCCCGTTAAAGCCACCGTAAAACTAAATCAGAAGAGCCAAATAAAATATTTAACAAGCAAATAAAAGCGCAACTGGAGTTCGGCCCTGCTCTACAAGACCACCTCCTCCACGATGGTGGGTTTCCCAGCCCTTCTTTCCCCCAGGACCTCAGCAAATGTCACCTGTTTGCATCAGGTCGAGATGGGGGTCAAGAGCTCCCCAAAGGCAGGTCCTGGCTTCCAGAGCCACCCTCCTCCCAAGGCAAACAGCTGCATCCGGGGCACGCTGCGGGGCCAAGATAAGCCGAAACAACTGCCACCACCACCCAAAAAAACAGTCCCGATGCGAAGCCGGGTGGTGGGTGGCGGAGGAGGGCAGCGCGAGGAGGCAGAGCCGGAGCCATCGCGCCAGGGCGCAGGGGAGATCCCCAAGAGCATCCCTGAGCAAGCACTTGGAGGATGGGCTTGGGGGACCGGCATCAGCTGGAAGCGGCTCCGAAACGACCACCTGGTGATGCCACGCATGAGTCTGGCCTGCTGGACTAAACCCCAGGCAGGAGCAGACGGCAGGGTGAAGGGATGCCATACCAGGGGTCTGTGCCTGCCTGCTCAAACCTGCTGGGGCAAATCCCTGCTGACTCCCAACCTCAGGGGCTCCGGAGGGCTTGTGCTCCCCCAGCCCCTCACAGCAGGCAGCACACAGTGAAGGGGCCAGGGCTGGGTCCTTCCCTCCCCTTCCTCTGCAGCCCTCGGCCGCCCCTGGGGCAGAGGATCAGCCCAGGGGCACACAGCCCCCAGCCTCTCCAGCTGTCCCAAAAACAAGGGGCACACAGAGGTCCCAGCACCCTGCTGCCCCAGGGCTGTTGCAAGAGCCCTGCGTCCCCCCGGCCCTCCCTGCAGGAACGGGTGCCTACCGGCGTGACCAGGGAGGGAAACAGAGCGTGAAGGG